TAGTCGACATCGAGCGCGAGGGTCTGCAGCTCACGGCTTCCCTCAAGGCATCCCGGATCTCTGCAGAGCTCGGCCTCATTGAGACCATTGCCATGACTATTTCTTCTCGAATCCTCGTTCAAACAGCATTCACAAATTTTTATAATACTGGTGACCGAAACTGGGAAGATGCCCGCGAAGATCTTGAGAGCGCACTTGCTGTCAGCACCAGTTCTGGTCTGTTGCAAGTAAGGCTATATTCGAGGAATGACACGGGCGCTTCCAATGGCGGTTTACTTAACGTGACCTCCCTTTCTGCACCAGAGATCATTCTGCCCTATGGTAGTCCAACTGGCTCCGAGATTCGACTCGGCGACACGGATGAGGGCTACCCACCGACCCTCTTCCCTAATCTTACATATATTAACCTTGAACGGCCAAGTTCTCAGCGCAATAACACAACAGCTTTTGCAGCCCAAGCATTCCCGGATGTTAGGATTGCCCGCGATGGTGGCTTGTTACTAGGGCCACTAGTTCTCAATGAGAGTGCCGCTCTCCTTTCCGTAACCATTCCTGTTCGGGACAACAACGATACTTTCATCCTTGGCTACATGACAGTGGTTACGCTTGCCGAGTCACTCACCGCGGTTCAGGATTCTCGTGAAGGATTGGGAAAGACGGGTACCGTCTTACTCATTGGCCCTACTGATCGGTCAAATCGGTTTAACAAAACTCAACCCGCCAGCAATGCGACATACACTCCCAACCGTGACGAATTTGGTAATGTGATGGTCAAATTTGTCCTTCCTCCTAAGAATCCGGAAGGACAGAAGGATCGTCATGATGTTCATCAGTTTGTCAGCGAGACTGGTAACAGAGCATTTCCTGTCAAGTATTACCCAGCAGCGTTCGATTCGTTCACAAAACATTATGATACTGTCAATAACGCCAGCGCTCTCCTTAACACACACAACGAGCAAAACGACCGTGTCGCTGTTGGATTTGCTCGAACGCAAACTCCTCTGGCAAACTGGACTGTCATCGTCGAGAAAGCCAGATCAGAAGCCTACAAGCCGATCAACACTTTGCGGAACATCCTGCTTGGAACCGTGTTCGGTACTGTCGGCTTGATAGCCTTGCTGGTCATCCCATGTGCTCACCTGAGTGTGTTGCCTATCCGAAAGCTCAAAGCGGCCACAGAAAAATCAGTCAATCCCCCTGGATACGAAGACTCATTCATCGATTCGGATTCCGAGTTCGGAGAGGAGATCCCAAGTTCTGGAGGACAATCACGACGATCGAAAAAACGAGGACCAATAGCGAAATTTATTCGAAAAATGCAGGGAAAGTCGAATGCGCCGAGTTCAAGCCGAGATATTGCCCGCCGAATGTTCAAAATCCCTGCAAAAGTCGATGACCGGAAGCACTTCGTTACGGATGAGCTAACTGAACTGACACGAACCTTCAACGATATGAGTGATGAATTAGTAAAACAATACCTTTCCCTTGAGGTCAAGGTGGCAGAGCGAACAAGGGAGCTGGAGGAGAGCAAGAAGGCAGCGGAGGCGGCCAATGAGAGCAAGACGCTTTTCATTGCCAATATTTCCCACGAACTGAAGACGCCCCTGAATGGCATTCTTGGCATGTGTGCCGTATGCATGGAAGAGAACGACATCGTTAGGATTAAGCAATCCTTGAAGACACTCTACAAATCGGGCGACTTGCTGCTTCATCTCTTGGAGGACTTGCTGAGTTTCTCCAAGAACCAGATCGGCCAGCAGCTCAACCTTGAACTGAGGGAATTCCGACTGGCCGATATCCGATCACAGATTTTGACCATTTTCGACAAGCAGGTTCGAGAAGGAAAGATCAATTTCTCGGTAGAGTTCATCAGCTCCGACAATATCGAAATCAGCACAAGTCCAGACAGAACAAATGGGGAGACAAGATTACCAGCACTTGGCCCCTATGGAACTGGAAGATTAAAAGACATGTGTCTATGGGGCGATCAACACCGAATACTTCAGGTCATCATAAACTTGGTGAGCAACAGTTTGAAGTTCACGCCTCACAATGGCAGCGTCTCAGTCCGCATCAAGTGTCTTGGAGAGGCAGAAACCGTTGCTGAGAATGAAAGCCGTACATCGTCAATATCGAAGAACTCGCGGAATAACTCACGAACTGGGCGTCCTCGACAACGTGGAAGCGCCAGCTCAGCAAACTCGGGAGGCTCAGGAAATCGAAACTCGATCCCGAAGTTCAAGGGCGGAGGAACTGCCTTGTCCATCAACCCTATGGACCCAAAGGCAACTCCTCATGTCCTGGTCCGGGAGCGATCCCCTACGCCTCCTCCACCAGGCGCCAGGTCGTATGTGTTTGAGTTTGAGGTACAGGATACTGGCCCCGGCATACCTGAGCATATGCAGCAAAAGGTTTTTGAGCCTTTTGTCCAAGGAGACCTGGGTCTGAGCAAGAAATTCGGTGGCACTGGACTAGGATTGAGTATCTGTCACCAGCTAGCAGGCCTCATGGGCGGTTCAATCAGCCTGCGTAGCACTCTGGGTGTCGGCACAACCTTCACTATGCAGATTCCGCTAAAATACGTGAAGGATCGGTAAGTGTGCACCAGCGAACTTGCTACAAAGTTACTAATAGTTAGATCCAGAACTTCTAGCACTGCATCGAGCAGTGTGAAATCCCGCCCAGCGAGCGTAGATGTTAGCGACATAGAGCCACAGCGTGTTGCTCCTGGTACCCCGAAGCCTGCAGCTGAAACCAAGTCAGCTGGTGCTCTCAACCCACAGCCTCGATTGGTCGGCTTAAGCCAGCCATACTTTGCTGCTGACCCTCCATCTATCAAGAGTGCAGAACAAAGGATGGCAGAGATTGATCGTGCCATTGCCAGTAAGGGTGGCCAAGGCAGGCTACGCGTTCTAGTTGCCGATGATAATTCAACCAACATCGAAGTCGTCAGCCGCATGCTGAAACTCGAGGACGTTTACGATGTGACTATTGCGAAGGACGGCCAAGAGGCCTACGACCTGGTGAAAGCAACGATGGAGAAGAACCAGGCATTCGACGTGATTTTCATGGACGTCCAAATGCCCAACCTTGATGGGCTGCAAAGTACTCGACTTATCCGTGAGATGGGCTACACATCCCCCATCGTTGCTTTGACAGCCTTCTCAGAGGAGAGTAATGTGAAAGAATGCATTGACTCGGGCATGGACGAGTTTCTCGCCAAACCTATCCGACGGCCGGCCCTCAAACAAGTGCTGAAGAAGTTTGCAACAATCCCAGAGGAGCCGGAAGACGAGAAGCGCTCTTCTTCGCTGAAACCGAAGGCTAGGACGAATGGTAATGCCATTCAGCCACGTAAGGAGGGCGAGAACGGCGCACCACGAGAGAAGCATGGATGAGCGCTTTACCCCTGATTTGCTGTGCACGTACAGAAGCCACAGCTAGGAACACGAGCGAAGAGTGACTCGTCCCGAAGACAGACATATCTGTACTAAAGGGACAAAGATCCCCATACACCATTTCAACCGACATACATCCCTTACATATTTGTTTCACGTTGCAAAAGTCTAGCGGGAGGAATTGTCTTTTCTGGAGTTTGAACATTTTTCTTATCACAATTTTCAAGGGGGAAGCGGATCAGGAAAAGAACCGCTCCGATGTCTTTTGGCTTGTTCGGGTTACTTGTCACGCACGTTGACGAGCATCGCGAGCTCTCTATACTCTATTTTGATCGTATTTCTGGTTTTTGCCATCACATACAGTTGATCGGCGCGCACGTATATAGGCGTACACGTTTTGACCTATCATAGTTATCATTTGCACATGTTTGCGGATACTGGCAGTGGAATCCAAAGGATGCATACGAGGAAAAGAGGGGACAGAGGAGAGAAGAAAGAAGAGGCGTATATACATACTGATGTTACTGATGTACTTATATATATGCGCATAATACTGTGGCGAAGGAAGAACAGAAATTCGTCACTTGACACATTGCATGACTCGGTGCATCTACTTCCTGTGATATGTTGAGACCACTAGAGGACAGTGGTAAAGTTGGGAAAGCTACTTGATTCTTTCTTCATTTCCGCCAGAGGCCTATGGCTACTATAATAGGTATCAACCACTAGTAAGAGACTTGGACGCCAAAGTAATGTAGAGTTTCTACCCAGGAAGGCGCAGTGGCAGAGTGGTCTAATGCGATAGACTAGAAATCTATTCTCTTCGGAGGCGTCTGTTCGAATCAGGCCTGCGTCGGTGTTCTTTTTGATTACAGAGTATTAGACCTGGAGTTAATATTTCTTTTTTTCTTCTTTTTTTTCTTATTAAATAATATAAATATAGTAATAATTAGTTTATTATTAAACAGTATTAACCTAATACTAAATATATATAAATCTTTACTTATAAAAATATCTATCTAATAGCTATTTAAGTAATACTTGGCTATGTTACTAATGATAGAGAATATTTCAGGGGTCTTTTACCCCAAAGACTCCTAGCCAACGGGGTCCGGAAGCACTGCCCACTCCGCCGTAGCGCATAAGCCACTAGAGGTGTTATTTAGGAAAGGTACATTTTAATCATGGACTTGCAGACACAGAAAGTTCAACTTCTGGTAGGAACATAAAAAATTGGATAAAAGCCCATATTTATTTCAGGGCCTGCCTGCTTTAAAGTCATTTTAAGCTCAACTCCGTTGTCCTACAATAGTGAAGCCTTAGTACCTAGGATGTGACAGGAATTCGAAGGAGACGGGCAAACCATGGACCTCAGGAGCTAGGTAGAGGTACGTACCTCTTCAGCACACAGGGCACCTACCTACACGTAAGGCTTCACGAGCCACAGCGCGACCGTTCCAACCAACCATCCTATCCCCGTCAGCTTCATCCATAAGTCGCATCTTTTCCCCCCTTCACATATCGACTCCCTCCATCGATAAAAATACCCTCACATCGCGCAGGAGTAATTACAGACCATTCGTAGATTCTGACGACGATACAATGGCCGACGAGCAGCCCCGTGGCATCGACCACACTGATTCCATCGATTCGAATGATGGCCCGAAGCAGCCGGACAAGAAGAAGAGCCGTCGCCCTGCGAGTGAGTGTGCCTCAGGGATGCGCGCGATGCGGGAGAGAATTCATATTGATTAATGCCTCGTAGATACTGCCTTTCGACAACAGCGTCTAAAGGCCTGGCAGTATGTTATAACTACCTATCCTACCCTCATCCCATTTACTCAATCGCCCCCTCGATGCTGATACCTTGCGACAGGCCCATCCTCACACCCAAGACTGTCCTGCCTCTCTTCTTCGCCATCGGCATTATATTCGCTCCCATCGGCGGTGCTCTTCTATACGCGAGCGCTCAGGTACAACACCCTTGACTCGTCTCGCTAGACTATACCCGCCAAACCCAATTCTAATGCGCAATCCCAGGTCCAAGAAATCCGACTCGACTACACCGATTGCATTGAAAAAGCCCCCAACCTCACGAACGGCGGCGGCGGTTTCAGGGGTATGCCAAGCAGTGCTGTCAGCACCGCTTTCAAGAGTTCGAACACTTCAGTGAATGCGCAATGGGCCAAGCAGACCAACGTCAACGTCACGCTCGAAAACGGTGTCAACGTCACGAACCCTCGATGCCATCTCAAGTTCACCATTCCAGAGGAAATGGGCCCGCCTGTTCTCTTCTACTACCACCTTACCAACTTCTACCAGAACCATCGTCGATATGTCCTCTCCTTCGATACCGACCAGCTCAAGGGCCACAAGCGCTCTTACAGCGACATTCATAACTCGGACTGCACTCCTCTGTATGGTGAGGGCAACAAGCCTTACTATCCCTGCGGACTTATTGCCAACTCCATGTTCAACGATACCTTCTCCAGCCCTGTGCTCTCGAATCCTCCCAAGGCTAGTAGCAATGATACGTGGGTGTACCTTATGCAAAACAACACGGGGATCTCGTGGGATAGCGACAAGGACCTCTACGGCAAAACCTCGTACAACTACACTGACATCATCCCCCCTCCCAACTGGCACGATCGCTACCCCAACGGATACACTGAGGACACGCCTCCTCCTAACCTCAAGGAATGGGAGGCTTTCCAGGTCTGGATGCGGACTGCTGGTCTTCCTACTTTCAGCAAACTGTACCAGCGCAACAACACTCAGGCTATGTGGTCTGGGACCTATGATCTGGTGATTGACTACCGTAAGCCATTGTTTTCTCATGGCGAACAAGCATATCTAACCTCAATATAGGCTTCCCTACTATCAAGTACAAGGGCACCAAGTCCATCATCATTTCTACTCGAACCGTTATTGGAGGACGCAATCCTTTCCTCGGTATTGCCTACGTTGTTGTCGGCGGTGTTTGTATTGTTCTCGGCACCGTGTTTACAGTTACTCATCTCATCCGCCCCAGGTTTGTCCCCTACTCTGACAGTCGTGGACCTTATGCTAAATCCATGATAGAAAACTTGGAGATCACACTTATCTCTCGTGGAACAACGCCCCTGGTGCAAAGTCTGGCCCTAGCACTGCCGCCGCTTCGGGTCGCGATCTCCGTCCTGGCGAAGCTTAGACAGCTCGCGACGATTCGCGCGCTCTTCTCGCAGCTCCTACAAGCCCATCTCCCTCGTCTTTCAGATTACCGCCCAGTGCATCAGGTGGCCCCCTAGCCACTCCCTGATCTGCACCGTCCTAGGTCACGTTCACCATCAAGGATATGAGTTATTCAGTACTCAAAGGCTGGTAGATGTCGTTCTGAGAGAGTGCTTTTGATCATATTTGCTTGTCACGTTTCTCCATTATACGTCTTGCTGTGTTTCTGTACGACTACTCATTTTTGCGGTCTCCAACTGTTGCTTTACTTTTGGTTTCGGGAGACTTATGTCATCAAACATTGGTCTCTTACACGTGTGCTAGCTATGTTGGCCTCGTGTGCCTCTTCACCCATCAGGTACCTGTCCTTTTGAACAAGAAAATATAAGGAAAGGGGAAGGAGGAAGAGCAAGAATTGTGTTTGCTTCGTACTTGTCTTTATATGGATAGGGAGTTTGGGCGCGTTGCGACTCGGGAATAAGGATAGAATGAATTGAATTATCTATATACTCTCGAGTTCAGTCACAAGATCTGACGTTTATAAGCACAATAGATTGGATGCTATGCTGCCTGAGGTGTGGGTTGTCACAGAACAACAATCCTACGACACCAAAAAAATTACAATGCAAAATCGCTTCAAATCATGAATTATCTTATTGTGACTGATACAGCTGCCCTTGACCCGTCCTGACCGATATCGATATCGATGAGCGAAAGGAAATATAAAAAAGATTCTCACCACCAGACCAGCTATTTGAGGTATGATGATCCGAAGCCTCCATATCCCCTTGAAGGGACTCGAGGACCTGTAGCTAAAGTTAAAAACCAAGTAGGAAAATTGTATGTTTTTAGTACAAATGGTGAAGCAACCAACCAACCAGCGTCTCCTCATCCTAAGTTCACGCCCAGAAATATCATCTTCTCACCCCGAAGCCCATTCATTATTATGTCACCGTTTAGCGCTTTCGCTTCTTCTTGCCTCCTCGGTCTTCATCCTCCATGGCACTCTCGCGATCGCGCTTCTTGGCCTTGCGCTCGAGCTCATCCCAATCCTCACCCTCTTCGTCACTGTCGAGCTCTGCATCTTCGTCGTCATCGCTTGCATTGCTGCCGAAATCGGATCCTTCGTCACTGGATTCAGACTCCTCATCGAATTCGTCCTCGTCCATCTCAAAGGCCGATTCTTGCTCAGACTCACCCTCGCCATCATCATCGTCAGAGTCAGCTTGCAGGAAAGACCAACCACCATCAGCAAAGAACTGGTGCGTGTCTGCAGTGACCGTCTTCATAATAGTTGGCCAGTTGAGGTTAAGAGGGCCTTCTGTGTAGGCGATATCGGAGGAGTCGAGCCATTCCTTAACCTGGTCGAGGAACTCGACGGGGATGGTGTTGACGTGGTAAGGGGGTCGTGTAAAATCCTTGAAGACAAAGACCATGTCAAAGTTCTTCAGGCCGAACTGAACACGTTCCAGGTGGGCAATCTCGACTTCTTCAATGGTGATGACCATAAAAGGAGGCTCGACAACCTGAATGAGGCAGTCCGTGGTAGGTTGCACAAAGACATTGCTTCGGAATGGCACACCATGAAAGCCAAGATCACGAACGGGCATGTCGACCTCGATACCTTCGTTGCGACCAGCCTCGGCAATCTTCTGAGCAAAGCCTTGGAATAGTCGATCCAACTCGGCTCTGCGACGTCGTTCCTCTTGTTCTGCCTCGAACTCATCCTCGTCACCATAACGGTACTTCCGCTTGCGGTTACCCGTCTCATCGAACTGAATGTCTGTGGCTTCTCGGTAGAACTGAACATCCTTTGTCTTCTTCTTGTTGCCAACAATGATCGGGTCCTTGAGATGAATATGAATGATAACAATCAACTCGTGCTGACAAGGTTGGAAAAACAGGTGTTTGACGTTTGAAAATAGTATGTCCACTCGGTGTTGTGCGTTGAGCGGTGAGATATATCGAATACCATTCTGATGAATCTCGACCTTACCTGGTACTCGCTTGCCTTCCATCGCTGGGCGGATATAGACATTGTCCAGCACAGCTGGTCGTCGGTCTGGGTATTGGTTAGTATCGACTGATCCGGAAACAGGTCCAGCTTTGACTTACTCCTTATCTCGACGAGTTTGTCCTGCTCGACGACATCCTCCATGTCCTTCTTTTCCTGCTCCTTCTTGACCACATCGCGCTTCATGTTGGAGATCTGAGTCGCTATTTCATTGTATCTCTCACCATCAGACGATCTAAAGGTCAAACTTCGAACAAAGTGCGCCGATGCATCCTCAAAGGGCTGGTCATCCTTTCGGCCTACGCCCTGACCAGGGGAAAGGAAATTGATACGCAAGAATGCCCAATCACCCTCGTCGCTTTTACTCGCGTTTTTGATAGTGTTGATGTGGAAAGGAACAGGGCGGCCCATAATGGGCAAAACGACTGTGTTGTTCTTGATATCGACAACAACCTCGAGGTTCTTGATCTTGCTGGGAAACTGATTGTCTCTCTTGTAAGACTCGAAACGCTTGAACTTCTTGACCTCACCACCGTTCTGGCCACTCGTGGATTCTGAAAATCTGGCGAGACCCTCCCTTTGCTTTCTCGCTGCAAGTTCCTTCTGATGCTCCCGTCGCTTCTTCTCAAGGTCGTCGTTAGCGACTTGGGTTGTGCGTTCTGAGCGAAGTCTTGTGCTTGTGATGTTCTTGGTCGCAACGGCGCCAACTCGCGAGTCCTTCTTCTCCTTCTTAGGGGCAGGCTCTGCTTCTTCATCATCCTTGAAGAAGAACGAGTTGGCATCGGCGCTTGTTGGGGCCTCAGCTGTGAATACCACGGGCTCTGCCGAGGTGACTCGAATGGTGTCGGTCAGGACGAGCGCATAGATCTTGCTGTTCTTGTCCTGGGGGGACGGGTTCTCGATGTCTTGGAATCCAGTATTGATAATAAGAGTCATACCGTCCTTCAGAACCCGCTGGTTCTTGGCGTTAAGGATCAAAGTAGGATCCTTGTTCTCTAATCCAATACCCCAACCAACGTTCTTTAGAAAATGCTTCTCCATATCTGGCTTCTTGCTCTTTATAATGCTGATGGCCCTACCATAAACCTCCTTCGCTGTCATACCGTCACGAATCTCCTTGATGATAGTGTTGTGGATGAGAGTAAGGAGCTTATAGTTGCTCTCCTGAGACTTGTTGGGGTCGACGAGGTAAGTTCGGGCGATGGTAGAACAGTATGACTTGTATCGAAGCCCCATGGCGGCAATGATGATGTTCGCGTGGAGGTTTTCGTCGTTGGGTTCACCGGCAAATCGAAGATCGTACTTGCCACCACTCTGGATCGAAGGTCCCAGAATCCAGTCCAGCTGAGCGGGATCGAGGTCCGAGGGAAGTTTGCCCTTGCTAGGCAACTCGACTGTCTTCCAGAATTGGTTGTCGTCGAGCTTCTTGTCAACCTTGTCGGCGAGTGCGGAGTGTTTGACTTTCTTTTCAGCATCGAGGATGTTGGACATTTCGTCGAGGAAGTAGGGGGTCATCAAGGCAACACAAGCCTTGGAGGCGGTTCGCATGGCTCGGAGTTCGCTCTCGTCCTTTACGGCAAAGGCGTAGGTAGAAAGGGCGGCGGATATGTCGACCTGGGTCACATCCTTGCATTGATCGTTGAAGAGCTTCTTCCACTCATCGACGAAGGGTCCTCGGGAGGTGTCTTTGGCAATGGTGCCAACCTTATTCTGAAAGGAATTTGTTAGGACTGAACGACAATCAATCTTCAAGCGACTTACTCCTGCCTCCTTAATCTTGTCGGCAAGCTTAACGAAGAGTTTCTCGTTTTCGGCGGCATCCTTGCCTCGCACAAGGACTTCGATTGGGAATCGACCCCCTTTCAACTGTTCTAGATGCTTGGCTAGAATGGATTTAGCATGAGTCATTTCGCGCAGGCAAAAATGCGGTCGCACCTTTCTTGGCTGTTGTGAGGATGTACAACGTGTCCAAGGTGAATAACATAAGGGTCGTCGGAAACTCGTATCCAAGAAGCCAGAACTAAGATATTGTTAGTACATGCATCTCGTATTCGTTTCGAGTCGTCGTGGGATCGCATACGTGAATCGCATTGTTCTTGTGGAATTCGGGGATCTCTTCAACCTTGCCCATCATTACAATGAGGGACTGAGCACCGTTGAACAGGCCATCCTTGGAGCGCAGGTCATTCTTCCAGGCAGTGACAAAGTGGGAGATGCGCTCCTGGAAGAGCTTGCTGTCAATCTTGATCTCGGCCATCGTTTCTGATGGAATCGTGATCTAGAGTGACGGGGGAAAGCTAAAGGAACAAAGAGCTGATGACGGGAGGTTTCGACGACGCGAGAAAAAGTGAGGTCGCGTTAATGATCCAAGCTGGAGCTCCCTGTCACGTGATGTCCCGCAACGCGTTCCTTGGGTGACTGATGATGCAAGCTTCCTAGTACTGCGTAAAGCCTGATGAATTAACCGTGGCAGGGCAATACTCCAAGCCATTAACAGCCCGAGCTTTCTTCAGGTTTCCCCAGTCTTTCTTAAAACCTCTTATGAGTTTGCCCCTCTTCGCACGCGAAAAGAGTGCAAGTTTCGAGAGATGAAAGATTGCTAAAACGGAGTTGAGTTGGTGGAGCAACCAAGTCTAGCAATAGTCAGGGAGGGATCTTGAGATGCTGGTTCCTGTCCTGACGATGAACACGAACCTTTCTAAAGACGTCGGCATTTGTGGTTCACTTTCTCCTGCTAATCCAGAATGCGCCACAGATGTGTAAGTTAATCTCTTTAAATATAGTCTCTAACTTCAACGCAGCCAGTGTCTCGTAACGCCTCTTCTCACCTGAGATCTAGTGAGTAGTGGAGTATTGTCAATGCTGTATTTTATTTAGGCCAGTAATAACTGACTACTATATTTGCTCACGCTTCTCATATATCGTCTTCGATAACATGAGTGAAGAAGATCGAGGGTATTCGAGAACAAGCATAGAGCATACACGTTTCCTTTTTGTTCTACCATCAGCTCACTCTAGATACTCATCAGCAACACATTGAGGTCCGAGCACAGTGCTAGAGCTCTGGAAATTCAATTCACGGTCTCACTTAGATTTAGAGCTCACTCAGTATCCGAGGTTGAGAGGAGCCGCTTTTCTACCATGAATGCGCCGTGATTGAGACCGCGGAACGAATTGGTTGAAATAGCGACGACGACTTATACTCCAATCCTTATATCCAACCTGAAAAGACTTGATTGTGGCTCGGAAAACTTCATTGTATTCTTTCCGGTAGTTTTCAGACTTGCTGCTTTTCACACCCGCACAATCTAGAAACATCAAACGCCAAATGCCGGAATTAACCTCCGTGTGTCGGCGCCGGTTTTCGGGAAGTGGAGTCGGGAGTTGCGATTCAAACCCGACCCCGCGTATGCCCGGGTGAACATATAACCAAACGCGAATATCTTCTCACAACCTGTTTTCTCAACCTCATCTACTCTGTAACTTATAAAACACACAGTTTCCCTGTGGTAACATCCTCTCTAAACACTCTTATTTCACATCGACTTAGACAATACTATCTGCCATCATGCGGGTTCCGTATGTATCCAACCCTCCCGAGACCAAGTCTGAGGAGCATGCCGCCATTGTAAAGCGCATAGAAGAGCGCCGCGCCCCTCGACCTCTCCAATCTCTGGATTTGGCTCTTCTCCACTCCCCTCACGTTGCTGACGGCTGGAACTCATTCCTCGGCGCTGTTCGTACCAAGACCTCTCTAAGCGACGACATTCGGGAGCTTGCAATTTCACGTATTTCGGTGTGCAACAAGGCCTGGTACGAATGGAAACACCATGCGCCGCTAGCTGTCAAGGGTGGTGTGTCTGAGGCTGGACTTGAGGCTATCAAGGGAGAGGAACTTGGTGAGCGGCCTGCTGAGCTGTCAGAGAAGCAATGGGCTGTGCTGTTGTACACGGATGAGATGACGAGGAACGTTCAAGTCAAGGATGAGACCTTTGATCGTCTGCGCGAGTATTTCAACGAACAAGAAATTGTCGAAATCACAGCCACGGTAAGACAGTCCCTTGGCCCTCTGTAGTCATCAAACTTATCCTGACACCAACAGGTTGCATGCTACAACTGTGTAAGCCGTTTCTTGGTGGCACTTGACGGTAAGCAAACATCATAAATTCATCTCCTGTCTAAGTAGAACTAACAATGCTACAGTCGGGGAGAGAAATGGTACCGGCCCCGAAGCTATCTCTGGTCATTGATAGACAATTGTGTCCTGCCAATTTCCAGAAGCAGCAGCAAATTAAAAAAAAAAAAGAAGAAGCATGTCTTGATTATGAATAGTGATTCATAAGACACAGAACAAACAAAGTGTTAGAATAAGACAAAAACAACAGTACTAAGGGAATACCACGACTTAAGGCCGTGGAAAGGGGTATCATCCCATCTACAGAAGTGAAGTGAAGTGAAACTAAAGAACCAAACTCCTCATAAACAAAGCCCCCAAGGCCCCATCCCCGCCAAACCAACCCGTCGTTAATCGTTTCTCATTCAACCATGCCTCCTGTGGTCGTGGTGAGTGTCCACTGTCATGCTGGGCTATGCTGTTTTGTAAATATGTTGGCGGCCACCTGGTCGCACTAAGAACGCCGTGTAATGAGGATTGTGTAATGTCCATGCTGCATCGTCGCACTTGACAGCCTGTAAGTGTTATGCCGTGTCGCTGTAACCAGAAACCAAAATGAAAAGAAAACCATGAAGTCTAGGACCAAACCGATGCTTCAAGATCATGGAGACTTGGAATATGACCTTGACATTGCGCGCTCAATAGAAGCATGACGTTGATGCATTTTAGGCGATGTTTGTAGTTCCTGAACAACTCCCGCCCAGCCCTTACGGCTAGGTTTTGGTATTGGCTCTGGGTGGTTAACGAGAGCCTGGGTAGTCAAACTGCGCAAGGGAGGACGGTTGATGATACCCTCCATTAAGCCCCTAGGAAGAGCAGGGCGGGTTGGCGTTTTAAAAACCGATGGCTTTTCCAGATCCCTTGCCGTAGGTAGAGGCGGCGAAGGCGGCGGCGGCACAGAGGGTTTCTCACGAGTAGTGGTGCTTGTTTGTGATGCGACGACGCCCATATAAACGACAAGGAAGCGCATGCGTAGCATGTCGAGTCTGCGAACCCGGTCCTCTAACCTCGATCGCTTCGACGCCCACAACAGCCTGGCGGAAGTCTTTAACTTGGTGGTGTCCTCCTCGATCACCACACTATTGATATCCTCACGCAAATCATCGCCCGTCTTCTGAATCTCCCTTAGGAGCCGTGTCAAACGTATCTTATCATCAAGGCGCTGCACCTTTGCGACGTCACGATCATAGCTCTCGTTCTCCTGGACGGAAAAGTCGGCAGTGTCAAGAAATGCTGCAATTTCGAGCGGCGCCGCTTGGTACGCGGCCGTGTAAGAGGAGATGATCTGTGCGAGGACGATGAGGGACAGAATGACAGCGATCAGAATGAGGATGATAGTCCACTGGAGGAGATTGAACTCGGCCATGGTTGAGCAAAGCGTCTATATGGCGAGTCGAGGCGGAGGGCGAAGCTATCGCGCATGGTCCTTGGGGAGTTGTGTGTTTGTGGGAGAGAAAGGGGAGAGAAGGGGAAGAGGCGCACACAATATGCAGGTGAAAGGCAAGGGACATGAGCGATGACGACGGGAGGAACAAGCGCAAGCGCAGTCAAATTCAACAACCCCAACAATCATGCTGTCCAGTACAAGTACAGTATCTTAACCTATCAAAGAGAACCCGCGCGTTTGTGTGCGCTCTAATTAACTAACAGAGGCACCTAATTTCTAGGCTCATACACTCCGTACACAAGCCGAGCTTCCATATTCGTGCTGGACCACTTGGTGCAGATGGCTGGGGATCGAGAAGAGCCCCCCCTGCAGGTGCATCTGCAACTAACGATAGCCAATAGAGACAGGGCAGGGTATTTAAGTCAGTCAGTCATCACATGGTCATGGCCAGTCTAGTGGGATGCGATGCGCGACTTGATGGCGTTGTAGTTGTAGTTGTCTGACTGATACTACTTTGCAAGGCCCATAAGAATGGGTAAGCGTGAGGTACCGTGATGATGAGGTTCGCGGAAGTGCCGGGCGGAAGAAACGGTCAGTACGGCATCTGGTGATGCTGACTGATGGTGGTTTACACAAAACGTACTCAAAAACGATACGTAGCCATCACAACTTGTTAATGCCATACTTTAAGAGGATGCACCTCAAGCCTGCTCAAGATTGGCAGTGTCCAAAGACTAATGCTGCGTTGCCGAACCGTCCAGCGGGTTTTCACCTTGCATTGGCGGATGGATTGCATTCCGAGTGGGTTCATCTGCAGGTTGAGTATCACCATCGGTTGGATGTGACCAATTCTTGCAGGACACTATGCTAGGCTTATTTGAGTAGTGTCTTGGATCCTCAGAGCGCCCAAGCCCATAAAAGCATGGATATCGAGGTCTGGAATTAGGGTTAGGAGAAGGGTAGTACCTTGGTGGATCAAGTCTAGGGCTTGAGGAGAAAGAGAGCTGAAAGACATTAGTTTGTTGAGGTGAAAGTTATGAAAGACATCTAGTGCAGTAATACATTCCATGGCTAGGTACTTCGTATATGGACAACGCATCCCCTGGTGATTCAAAATCATGGAGGGGTGAAGAGAAGTTGGCTGGGTTAGCGTTGTTGTCATAAGTCGGAATAAACTTGATTCGTTAGGTACTGAAGGCTTTAGCCGCTGTCAGGTTGGCACCCAGTAAAAAGTTCGCGGGCCGTTGAACGCGTGAGCCAAGTGGTGCCAATGGAATTATCCTCTTCTCTCCTCTCCCTTGTCCCTTAGGCAAGGTTCTGACATCCCACTGACTTCATCGATGCCCTGTACCTGCGCCAGTCTTGCAGCTTATCACAATCATCGGATCTTTCTCCACGGGTATCGCCTGTTTCTGTATTCTCTATTGCACCCCTTCCTGCTCCCAAGAACCCTCAACAATAAACCTGCTCATGGCGACGACTACAGCGACGGTGACGGCTGACCCCGCGCCGCAAGCGCACCAGTTTCCCCTCCCAAAGATCCTCGAATACCCCGCGTCGACCCCGCCAATCCTCATCACTCAAGGCGCCGAGGGTCGCCTCTACAAAACCACTTACCTATTGCCCGATATTCCCTGCGCCCTCAAGTATCGCCCTCCTAAGCCCTGGCGTCACCCGATTCTTGATCAGCGGCTCACGAAACACCGGATCCTTTCAGAAGCTCGTATTCTTGCAAAGTGTCGCCGCGATGGGGTCCGTGTACCAGCTGTGTATGCTGTGGATGAATCTGCTGGGTGGTTGATGCTGGAATGGATATCCGGCGGTCCTGTTCGAAAGAGCATCAATGAGCGGCTCGGAAATAGAACTGAAGGCATAGAGAGCGATGCTGAGCTGAAGGACCTCATGCGAAGGATCGGTACTGCTATTGGCAACATGCACAAGATCGGCATCGTCCATGGTGACTTGACCACCAGCAACATGATGTTGCAACCCCCAGCTAACCCCCAAGATGGCAATTCTTTACACGGAGAATTGGTTATTATCGATCTGGGTCTGGCCAGTGGAAGTATATCAGACGAAGACCGGGCAGTGGATCTCTACGTTCTAGAGAGAGCATTTGGTAGTACACATCCAAGAGCAGAGTGCCTCTTTCCGGAGGTGCTCGAAGCCTATGGCCAGACCTTCAAACAGGCCAAAATTGTTCTCAAGAAGCTAGAAGACGTGCGGATGAGAGGCCGCAAACGAAGCATGCTTGGGTAAACAAAAAGAAAAACAGAAAAGCCGTCTTGCAGCCAATTTCCCTACCATAGTGTCTAAACTCCGTGTATCTGATGCTCGCTGTGAAAAAAAAAAAAAAAAAGAAAAAAAAAATGGACAAATGATGCCACTACATTCCATCTTATGTGGCTTGGAGATCCAAGATGCCAGCAACCCAATGGTTCATCATCTCTTCCTTCTTCTCTTTCTTTGTCTTTCCTCTCTTTCCCGACCGTCAAGGAATTTGTCCAACTATGGTGCCACCAGCTCCGCTCCAGCGAAATATCCCTTATTCTCTATGACGCCTCGATCCTGTACGAATGCCGTGTATCGTACTACCCATTCCGGGACAATTTCTCCAGTCAAACCCGCACCGCTATTACCGGGATCAGCAAGGAGACCTGCGCCCTTCGGCTCATGGCTAAGGAGTTCTCGAAGAGTGCCGTGCGGAAGAATATCGATGCAGTCGTTGTGAACATGCAATTCCACGCCTTCTTCCTCCGCTAGCTTTTTCAGTGGAGGTGGGACATCGCAGCAGTTTCGCAAGTTGATCTGGTCGATGACGGGCCGGACACTCGCACGCTTAATGAAAGCGCCAAGTTTCTCGCTACCAAACTCGGCCACAGCAAGACGCTTCACGAGACCTTGCTTGTGCAGGCCCTCGAATACCTTCCAGGTCGCAAGCTCCTCTTCAAGGTTGCCCTGTTGAGCATTGGTCTTGTCCGCCTCCCATTCGCAGTTTCCTTCGAACGAAATGCCAGGAAAAGATACAATCAAGAGGTCGATGGTTTGAATGCCGAGTTCTCTCCGGACCAAGTCCAGAGCCTCTTTGACATGTTGTTCCCGAGCAGCTACTGGCATACCCGAGAGAACAAAAAACTTGACAGTGATCTCATATTGACTGGGTTCCTCTTGGAGGCCCGCAGCGTTCCAATTAATGCGAGGAACGTATAGCGCATCGCCTTCTTGTTCAGTCCAGAGGTCGACGGCTGTGTGCTTGCCTTTGGGCATGTCGCCGTTTGTGAAGCCGTTTGTTTCTTGCGCATCGATCGCATAATCGCGCTGAGCTTCAGCGATGTTGTCACGCAAGGAATTGACGAGTTCGAGGTTGGATCTGTTATTGCCGGGTTTGCGGATAATGGAGGGGCCTGCCAACATGACATTGCTGTCGAGAGGGGTTTTGTAAGCATCCATTAAAACTGCAGAGAAGTGAGATAGATACATACGCAGTAGATAGAATAAGTCTTGTCATGGTGAAACTACGTGAGATGATTGAAATACGAGAGATATAGCCCCAGCAAACAAATGAGAAGAGAATGGTTCGAGGAGAGACTTTTAGTAGACAAGAGGGAAATTTTCGCTGTCGGGGTCTTCGAGGCGTAAACTCGGACACACCAGTATTAAATCTGCAGACCAAGTACCTACCTTACCTAGTCTATCTCAAGGCGCGCCCACTGCTGAAATACGTGGGGTAAAGCAGATAGCTTAGTAATGTCTAATTATTTGAGGTCGCAGTTATTAATCATAAGCGAAGTTTGAGGTTTGTGTCATGATTCTACTGTACTTATGTTCGTCATGGCTGCAATTATCGAATCATTGTTACGGGATAGAAGTGAGTGGGAGGCTGGCTCTGAATGGCCATGAAAAGTTTGGGACCTGACACAGTAGGACCGCATAGTCGCGTGCTTGATAAGTGAGATGGCTAATTGATGACAGGGCCCGTTACCATTTGTTTCACGGTACTAGAGTACCTATGTATAAGGTCTGAGATTCGTTTATCATCTTCTGTGTACGTGGGGTTTAAGTATGTGCCTACCTTACCTGAGGTACCTACTATAGGTAGGTACAGTAAGGCATATCGGCACTGAGGTATATGGACTATTTGTAATGTGCAGAATGATGTACTGGATTCCGGGTCAGTTACTTGGTAATTTCTTTATTAGAGACAGAATCGAATAACTTCAGCTACTTCAGACAGGTAACTCGCCCTAACTTTTTAGCTTGCCTAGGTATCTGTATTAACCTTAGGTAGATGGCGCCTGGCGCTCTCTTCCCGTCCCATCGATATAGCAACTCAGTGTAGCCACCCACTGAAGTGACCCGCTGAGAGGGGGTTAGGCGGATTGGCTGGAGCCTGGACCACCTCACCTCACTTCATCATTGGGCTTGTCGGCCTGAGCCAACTCGTCACCAACCCGCCAAAATTGCTTCCGTGTCCACCTTGAAGCCAAAATTGCTTCCTCCGTCATCTTTCGAAACCTCTCCCTGCCTTTTATCTGCACGCCTCCAAGCAGGCTCGATATACCATCATGGCCATTCAGTATGCTTCTCCGTGGTATACCAACTCATTTCGCCTGCTGACCGAGAGCCAACTATAGATATCTCATTCTCCTATCCCGTCAGGGCAAAGTGGTATGTCTTGGTTACTCACATGCGCAGCTTCAACAGCGCTGACTAGTCATGACAGCGTCTTGCCAAATGGTTCACAACACTCTCCCCCAAGGATAAGGCCAAGATCGTCAAGGATGTATCTCAGCTTGTGCTCGCTCGAAGAACGCGCATGTGCAACTTTCTAGAATATAAGGGTCAGTTTCCTAGCCCCTTTGTTTTGATGACATAGAGCTAACCATCAACGTAGATACAAAGATTGTCTATCGCCGATATGCATCACTCTTCTTCATCGCCGGGTGCTCTTCCGAAGATAACGAGCTGATCACCCTCGAAATTATCCACCGATACGTCGAGCAGATGGACAAGTACTACGGCAACGTTTGCGAGCTCGACATCATCTTCTCTTTCACCAAGGCATACTATATTCTCGACGAAATTCTCCTCGCCGGCGAGCTGCAGGAAACGAGCAAAAAGAACATTCTTCGCTGCATCGGCCAGCAGGACTCCCTTGAAGATATGGAGGTAAGTCATGACCAGCTTGATAAACTATGAAGTTT